TGTTCAAACTAAATCATCACATCCATTACTAATAAACAATTCATATAGACAGGAAGAATATCACTGATTTTCCCTTATTCTGTGTACTGTAGGGCTGCAAACAGATGATGACAGGCCAGCATTCATGCACAGCCATTTCACAATGTCCTCTGCCAATTTAAGAAACTTCTCCAAATCCTACCTCCTGTCAAACCCTGTTCAGTATCAGCCACTTTGTTCCCCTTGCCCTCTTGCCATCGGAGAAGTCCTTTGCCCAGGTGAGCCGTCCCTCTGTCTCCAGCTCCGTCGCAGTGTCCTCCTCGCTGGGGCAGGACAGTGCAGGGACATCTCTGGCTGCTCTCTAGCCTGGAAATGTCTCTCTCTCGCCAAGGCATTTCCCGTCCTCTCATCTTGCCTTGAAGACCATCCTGTTTGTGTTAGTCTAAAACTGAACCGAGGCTCATTCAGTTTTTCCTTCCCATTACTCATCCACCTCAGTTGAGACTAATCTGCCGCATTAATTCCTTTAACCTTGGCAATTTCTAAGTTTCCAGTTCTGTTTCTTTTGCTTCACCCCGTTTCTGCATCTTATTTTACTCTTTCTGCATGCAAGATAAACCATGTACCTAGCAATGTGAAGTTATCCACTTCTTTCTATCCTTGGGCCTGTCAGATGCCATAGGAGTGGTGCTACACAAAAATATATTGTATTGCATGCTGTTGATCTGTAGGAATGATGTCATACACTAAAAGTTTAACTTTAGCTTGGCAGAAAAAGGAAGTAAGGAAGGAAGCAGAATTCGCTGAAGACAAACATCCCTTAAAATAGAAATATTACACTTCATAGGACGAAACATCTCAATGATTTTGAGAACATCATCCTTTCAGCTTCTTAACAGCACAGTAATAAAGCCAGCAGCCAATATCAGCATCACCACAAACTGGAAAGAGAAACAAACTTTGCTACTGAATTTTGAAATTCCTCTCCCACTGTATGTTCCCGTATGATTTCAGTTTGACAAACAAAACAAGCAAAACAACTACAAGTTCAAATTGCCTTGCAAAATCTTGGCTATGCATCGATGACTTCTTTCAGGTACGTTCTGAATGCTCTCTGCCTCAGGTTAGATGGGGAATTTTAAGACACTGTTATGAAAAAGACACCTCCTATATTAGTATAATGCAATTTTAAGCACCAAACCATTGCACACTTCTGGGAACTTTGAGCAGAGTCAAGTGATGGTCTTTGCATCTGGGCAAACGGGGTTGGGGGTGTCAGGCATGCACCATCCTTGTTCCTCCATGCTCAGGTGTCCTTGCCAAGGAAAGCAGCTGATGGGCTCCATAAAGCATTCAAGTGCAAACCAAAAGGTAAGAGGCACGGTTCATGGACTGCAAACTTCAGGAAAAAGCAACATGATGGTATTGCTGCACCACAGAGCGCTGCCTACACTGTCATTTATACTTCAATGGTTGTAAAACAACATAAAAATTTGAACACGGGATAATTGTCCAATTACTCTTCATTATCAGGTTTCCCATTTAGCAAAAAGTCTGAAGAATGGAGTTACAGTCCCAGCTAGGTGGATCATTCTGTTGAACAGAAATCAGTTTCCTAGGCCACCTATTCTGCAAGTTAATTGAAAGGAGAGAAATAAGATTTTGAATTCCTTATTATATGGTAGTTGCAATCCTGAATGGCAAGATTTCTGACTATATATACGTGTGTGAGTGTGTCAGAAAATGAGCACTGCAAGAATTACAGTATTCTGTCTTGTATATCACCTTCCTAGGGTGCAAATTCACAGTTTGATGGATGATTAACATTAGGGAAAAATTATTCATCTGATTACCAACAGGAGAGATATAAAATGAACACAATATATTACTGGATTTAGGAATATAATCACAAGAAAAAAATTTACAGATATATTACAGCAGGGAATACTCCCAGTTTTACACACAGGAATTTCCTGAATCTAATATGTCATTTATTCCTGGCAAAGCCTGTCCTTTGTCTACGTATATTTCATTTCTTCCCAAACAGAACAGAACTAAGCTACATATGCGCTGGACCAATTTTTGCTAGACTTAACTACTGTATACAGTAAGGTTTTAATAAAGCATTACATCTTCCCATCTGAAAGGTGAGCTGGAGGAGCACCTTAATCATTCTCCCAGTTACTAGGGACACTTCACGCAACATTCCTCATTTTAGATCAATTCACACAACCGTTTACTCTTGAAGACTGGCTATTTTTTGCTTTGTTTTGTGAAGGTAAATAGAATAGCGTAAGGTGTCCTGACCTTTCCACAAGGGCAAATGCGAACAGGAGAATATTTTAAGCGCGAAGTGATCATCCTTTTTACTATATTTTTCCCATGCCTTTCTGTACGCTATTTTTGACAGTCTTTCAAAATTTTTGGTCAGTCCACCAGGCCTTACTCCCTTTACAGTTAACAGTCCAGAGACTTACACTACCATCACTTTTCTGATGAAGATTAGACTTCCTTTCACTTCTCATCTCACACCTCTCTCTGCTTTATTCTGCCATCAAGTCTTATCTAACTTCATTATCTAATTCCTGTAAAAGCAACTGTGCTGTGACAAATGCATCACTGCATGGTATGAATATGGAAACAAGAGACTTGGATAGAAGGCATGAGGAACAAAACCTCTCATAATTAGCAAGAAGTAGCATGGAAAAATATGATAAATATTTTGTTTAAAATTATTCTATGCTATTTAGACATTTCTACTTTATGGAGAAAATCCTCTTCCATCCCCAGTGCCAAGCACTAGAAACCAGTTTTGACACTATGCATTTCTCAGGATTTCAAAGGACAGGACTCTAAGGCTGCCATGCCAATCTCAGGCTGCAGTAGCTCAGCTGGTCCCTTGTCGAGGCTCCATGACCAACAAAACCTCGGAGCTACACCTCCACCTAGCAAGAGCTGGGTATTCTCCTTCCCGATCTGTTCTTCATGTTCAGCACCAGTTATGCAGACAGAACAACCCTGGGCTGAGCTCCTTATGGTCTTCCCTGGCTAGCCCAACCCTACCATCTGCATTGGGCATGACAAGATGTGGCCTGTGGCTTCTGCTGCTGCTGTCAGCTGATGCCAGAGCACCAAAACCACGCTTGCTCAGCAGCACAGGTCATATGCGGCTCAACTGCATGCAGTGTGTCTAAATTTTGACTCACAGAATGACTGTTGGTTTGCATTGAACGACTCATAGATCACACATGCCTTACTCAGAGATAACAGATTTGACATGAGATTTGCATTGCTCACTCATTTGTCTCGGGCTAGTTGCCTGTAAAATTCAGAAGATAACTAGATGTCCCCTTCGCAAAAAAATCTGACTTCAAATATTTGCGTGGCTATCCCAGTGCTCTGAAAATGCTCTACCTTCTAATCCAGTATGCAGACAATGCATTTGCCATTATTTTTACTTGCTAACCTGGCCATGATACCAGTTTCCAGACTGCATGTACAAACAATGAACATTTTTGTGAGCAAAATATGTTCCGACATCAAGTACCGCTAGGTCAGCTGCATAAAACTGCAGATCTTCATTTATAGTATTTCCTTCTCTGAATATATTTACATAACATAAAAATAGACCTTTAATCTCAGTAGATTACAACCTCTTCTACCACCTTCTGTAATGGAACTGAGACATTCAAGTATTTTCAAATAATCTCTCATTACAAGGACACGATTTCAACCACTCTGAAGTGCTACTCAGAGCTTCATCTGCTCTACAGATTAAAAATATGCACAACAGAGGTGACTTTTAAAATAGCATTCCTCCTGTTTCAGAAGAGAGAGTGTTTGAAACTGCTTCTTACATTCCCTGCCTGTTTGTAGAAGAAGGTGCGTAGCCAAGGTCCCAAACACCCCTACATATCACATCGCGAGCTCTTGTGTCCGAAATGCGGCCTGGGGCAAAAGCCAAACAAGGCTTTTCAAGTATGTAAATATCAATTTTCAAGTATGTAAATATCTGGGCACCTGGGCACCTAAATCCATACTTACTCTCCAAAATTATTTAACTGGATTTCAGAGATTTAAAGAACTCTCAGTTATCTCTGTTGCCAAGAAAGGATGTTGGGTGTGCTCCTCTGTAAACCAAGTCACCTGATTGAGTGACCAGATGTGATACGTTGCCCACACTTGGATGCACCTACTTTTGAAATTTACACCCCTGGCATCGCTAGGTGCCAGCCAGAATAATGGTTATTGACCAAATTGGCTGCTGGTGGTTTCCAGCTACAGCAAAGCGAAAGCTCATGGCAGGGCCAGCCTTAGCACTGGGAGAACCTGCCCAAGAACACGGGGCATTTATTCAGGGCTTATGCTACCAGCAGGAGGGAAATTCTGGTGCCATTGTCCCCATTTTGAGAGCAAGGCCTGCATTTTGTCCTCCTGTACTCTTGGTAGCACCGTCAGCAGCACTCGGTGAAATTACTAACAAACAGCATTCAGTCGTGAGGCCTCCTGCAAAGCTTGAAGTCTTAGGCTCTTGCTTCTCTTTAACGTGATAATCTACAACCTCCCTAAAAGTATCTAAAAAGGTGGAACACACATTCCACTAACACTCTCGTAATCATTGCTGTTTTGATAATGAATAGGGCTGCTAGAGATCAGCTGCAGCTGGCAGAGCTAATACCTGGGACAAAAAGAGTCGTTGGTTTTTTCATTCTCCCTCACGCCTGAGGAAATAGTGTATGTGTGGCTCCTTGCCCATCCACCCAAGCACTTAAGTCACACACCTATGCCTCTGGAGATGGGTGTTTGTGTGTGTGGGAGGCAATGCACAGGGATGAGGTGAGGTCTGGCAGGCAGCACCACGGCCTGCTGAAACCCCAAACCACACGTCGTGTACACGTCTGAGCACTCGCTCCAGCCACAAACCCACACCGGCGCCCAGTCCATGCATGTACCCCAACTCGCCTCACGCACACAGCGACACGGGGACCCCGCTGGGCAGGCCGCATGCTCCGCTCCCTCACCTGACCACGTTGGGGTGCTCGAATGTCTCCAGGTGCCTCAGAACTGCCACCTCTCGGATGGTGGACAGCGGCATCCCCTCCTCGCTGGTCTGCACCCGCACCCGCTTCAGTGCCACGAAGCGACCTCCGTTCTTCAAGTCCCGGGCTTTGAACACCTTCCCGTAGGCTCCTTCGCCGATCTCGGCCACACACTCATACTGCTGGTCAGCCAGGTTTGTGCTGTCCTTATCCATGCTGCTGCTGCTCCTCTTCCTCCCGTGCCCGGGGTGCCTAGGGCAACCCTCCGTCCCTGCTGGCTTTCTGAAGGCTAGCACTTGGCTCGTGCTGCGGGTCTGCCACGCACCTGGAAGCCCTGCCACGTGGGCAGGAGGAAGTTCTTGGCCCCCCGGTCCCGTTCCTTTGCTGCACGGGCCCCAATGTGCCTCCTCTTGCAGCCGCCAGAAATTATCATACAGTCTTTGGGAGCATTGTCTGGGTGAGGCCAGTTAGATCTGGAGGAGCAAGCAAGCAACAAAGAGGAGTTAGAACATGCTGCCATTGTGCTTTAGTTTACTTTACAGAGAAAATTAAGCTAATGAAATAGACAGCTCCGTGCGCAGCAAAAACGTGGTGCAAAGGAAGATGTGGAACCACCAGGCTGCCACGGGATCAGCATTACTGCACGGCTGATACTGTGCTGGGTGGTTATCGTGCTCTGCCCAGAAAGCTACAACGCACAGCCACAGAGCAACCACGTGCTCTGGGATTTTCCTGAGCAATGGGCTGAATGTGGCCCTGGGGGACACGGAGGAGGTGGATGAGGGAGCTACCTACACACGTGTGACAGCAAGCTACGTCCAGGGGTGTATGGCAGGAATGCAGGACTCCAAGGTTCCTTGGACATCGCATAGAGGAGTCCTTGAAATACACCCCATGCCATGGTACCGTGACTTATTGTAAGTGATAGCACTGAGAGGATCCAGCCTTGATCTGCTCTCCGCTGTGCTAAGCACTGCATGAAGACATTGCAAGAGACAAGTTCCTGCCTCGTGGGAGGAGAAATACGTACATATATAACATGATACTAATGTTTCCGAGCATTGCATGCTGCGGTATATTCACGAAACCTGTGATCACGCATGGGATTTAGCTTTGGATGCTGCTGCCATGGGACATGTGAGTGGCAGTTCCTTGCTGATTGCTGTGGGGCTGGCTGCGTGATGGAAGATGGTCTTCAGGAACAGCATGGTCTCATGGTCTGCTGCCTAGTGCACGAGACGGGACAGCAGAACTGCCTCCCTCTGCATCCAGTTTCATCCACGCAGCTACACCATGACTAGGGGCAAATCCTCTCCCCTCACAGCAGCTCCCTGTCAGCGCTCTCCTTTACTCCTTGCCTCTTTTTAATATATTGATATTGGGACTTTTGGGGCTGTAACCCTCCCCTACACCGTATTGTACCGTGCTAGGCTCAAAGCCCCCCAGACACCTCAGCCGGGCATCCCCTACCTTGAACCTACAGCTATTTTCACCACTTTTTTCACCTTCACGCTCATCTCCCACCTTTCAGAAGCCACCGAGCACTAACCCAGGACAGCCCCCCCCCCCCCCCCCCCCCCGTGCCCTCCACTGCACCCTGCGGCGTGCCCTGCCCCGCAGCCTCCGCAGCACCCCCGCTCCCCGGGCGCTGCCCCCCGGCGGGGGGACACCTGCCCGCGACCCCCGGCCCCCGGCCCCGGCCCAGCCTCGCCCCGCCGCCGCCACGAGGCGCCCCCCGGCGGCGGGCACCGCGTCGCGCGTGTGCGTGGCCGCGGGGGCGGCGGGCCTGGCTCCGGGCGGCCACGGAGCCCGCTGCAAAATTACCGCTCGTGTGTCCCCACCACCACCCCGGGCACCACGGGGGGCGCCCCCCGCCTCAGCCCCTTCCCCTGCTCCGCACCCCCCGGCCGCGACACGCAGCTCGCCCTCCGCGGCCGCCCCCCACACGCGGCGGGGACACGCGGGGGAGCCGCGTCCCCACGCTTCTCCCCCCCCCAGGGCATAGCTCTGCGCTTCTCGGGGGGGCGACAAGGGGACCCCCCCCAACCCCGGCTCCCCGGGTGGGCAGCCCCCCGTCCCCGCCGGCCCCCCACACCGGCCCCCTGGGGGGGGACAGAGGGGGTTTGGCGACCCCCGGCCCCCGAAAGGAGGCGTCCGTGGGGGGGCGAGGGGGGGCGCGGCGTGGGGGCCGGGGCGCCGGGCCGGCTGTGCGGAGCACATGGGCGCCCCGCGTTACCTGCTGTGCGCTACGGCCGCCTCCACCGCCACCAGCTCCCCAAATAATCCTCAGCCCTTGTTGGGGGGGGGTTGGAGGAGGGGGGGCTGGGGAGGGAGGGGGTGAGTCCTCCCTAAAACAAACCTCCCATTGAGCGAGGCGGGGTGGAGAGCCGGCCCGGGGTCTGCCCCTTCACATGGCGATGTCTCCGGCAGGTCCCGGCAGCGGCCGCCCGGGCCACACAGGTAGCTGCTGCTGCTGCTGCTGCTCCTGCTGCTGCTGCTGCTGGTGTTGCTGCTGCTGCTGCTGCTGCTCCGCCGCCCGGCCGCCCTCGGCTCGCATCCTCCCGCCGCCGCCGGGCTGCACCTTGGCGCAGAAGGCAGCTCCCACTCGTCCCCCAGCCCTCTCCTCCCGCCCCCACGCTGCCCGGGGAAAACGAAAACGCCGACGAAAAGAAAAAAAAAAAAAAAAAAAAAAAAAAAAAAAAAAAAAAAGGAAGAAAAAAAAATTAAAAAAATAAACGCGGCCGGCGGCCCCCGGGGAGCCGCCGCCGCTGCTGCGACGCGCCCGCAGCCGCCCCGCCGCGGGGCTCGGGCACCGGCCTCGGGCTGCCGTGCCCCGGCTGCGCTGCTCGCCCCGCTCGCTCTGCCGGCCTCTGCTCAGCCTGCGAGCATAGCGGCAGCTTGCTTTTTTTTTTTTTTTTTTTTTTTTCTTTCCCCTCTCCTCAACTTTTTTTTTTTTTTTTTTTTTTTTTTTTTTTCCCTTGCTTTCCCACGCTGGCTGAATGTGACTTGACCCCGTTTCAAAAAAAGTTTGACATAGTGCTTCAACATTTCCGCATTCCTCCCCGACTACAAAGGCTGCAGCCGCCTCCTTCTGCTTTCTGTCTCTGCTCTCTGTCTTCACACTCAATGAAATCCTTCATGTGCCTCTGCCAAAGGCGGCCGCATACCGCAAGGGTCGCCGCGAGCGCCGCGGCCGGGCCCGGCCCCGAGCGAGGCGCCCCGGGGGGTCCCGGCCCGGCCCCGCCGTGCTCGGCGCTGCGCGGCACCGCTCGGTGCCTCCCTCTCGCTCCTCGGTCTCCGAGGCGCTGGGAAAGCCACCCTTCCCGGTGGCTTTTTTTTTTTTTTTTTGTGTGCCTCCCACTCCTTCCCGAGAATAACCTTTTTATTTTTTTTTTCCCGGGGAAAAACCCGATTTTATATATATATATATATATATATATATATTTATGTTTTTATTTTATTCACGGGGCTAGGAAAGGAAAGCAGCAGCCACGAATGCTTTCGGGAAGCACCACGACAAGTTCCCCCCCGCCCTCGCCGCCCGCCGAGGCGAGGTCCTTGGCCCCGGAGACGCCGGGGCAGGGGGCGGCGGGGGGGCCCCGAGCACGCCGCCGGCTCTGCTGCGGGGAGCTTTGTGCGGAGCTGCTTCCTACAAATAGTGCAATTCACCGCAGGAAATAAAAAAAAAAAAATCAAATCACAAAACAGATGCCAGTCTACTCCGTCTGCATGGGGGGGTCTCGGGCTGAAAGCACATGTGGGGAGCCTAATTCCCGGCTGGTACCTCCCTGCACATCCTTCTCGGGACCTCAGGGGTGGCCGTCCCCCAGCTGCGGAGCCAGCCCTTATGGGGGTTTAACTGGGAGAGAGCGAGCCACATCGCCTCTTGCAGTGGGAAACGTAATTTCACTAAGTGGGTTTGTAACTCAAAAGTATATGTTGAGGGCTTAGTATCGTACATTGTATGGTTTAGAGACAGAGAAAGTAAAAAATAATAGATTTAGTACTGTACAAACGAAAAGAATTCATAGCAGAAAGAAGCATGTCATTACTCAGACGGATTCGCAGCACTGGAGAACACATGAAATCACAGAACATACATGAAACACGCTGCTCTAGCTCTGAACCTGCTGCCAGCAGCTGCTGGTGCCCTTCTACCCCTGGAGGTTCAGAAGTAGCACCTGAGAGAGGCGAGGGGCAGGTGGCTGGGAGCAGGAGGAGACCCTCCTCCGAGTGCCCCTGGGAATAAAAGGAGTGGGAGACATGGGTACCTCTAAGGAAAAGGCCAATGCCACGTGGGGGCTTGCAGAAGACCAGGCATACTTCACAAGAGCTTGATTTATGCTCAGAATATATTTTATTTAAAATCACAGAAATTCCGCAACAACTTCCAAAGTCCATGACTTATCAGAAAAAGATGCCGAAGCTAATGGCAAACACCGTAACATTTTGCTTCAAAGGTGTCAAAGATTCAAACACACATGTCAAATCGTTTCTTAAAAGATGTGAAAAGGTTCATAAACACTTTCATTACCTTGCTCTGTTTCTTTGAATTGTGACATTTATGGTTTCCTTCGATGCATCTTCCTTTCTTTGGTGAGAAGGGAGCAAAGGCACACTGAGTCCCTTGGGGAGGTAAATGTACAGCTTCAATTCAGGGCAAATGTGGGAGAGAGATTTCTGCAGTCCCCTGACATTCACCTCTGTGTTCAAAAGTGCTGGCTTGCCATCCTGTTAATAAAGGGTGTTGAACACCAACTCAGCCTTCCAGCCCATATTCTCCCTGTATTTTCTGGGCAGTATCCGCAATGCTCCTCTCCTTCAGAAATGCTTTATCTGCAGATCTGGGTGGTGAAGCCAACAGGATCGCCATGAGAGACGATGATGCTCATTCTGCCGGACGGAATGAATTTCAAGCACGAAAGTGCTAGACAGATAATGTGTCTTGATACCACGCTAAGATTATTCAGGGACTTTTTCAAAAAATTATGTCACTATTTTTTTCCTTTACTCCCACCCACTTTGTGTCCCAAATATAGAGTTTAAAGAAGCCATAAAACCCTCTAGACTGACCCACAACGATTTTCTCAATTTTCTTTATTACAAAGTTAAGTGATTTTCGGAAGAAAATTCCAGATACAATTAACTATGAACATTGTATAAAATGGATGATGCTGCAAATAATTTGTTGCAGAGGTTGAAATTACTTACATGAATTGTCAGGATTCTTAGAAAATATAAAATCTATTACATTTGTTTTAAAGCTCAGAGTCAAGACAATGTTTCAAATAATACCCGTTTTATAAACATTAGAAATCATCAAAACAATGTACTTTAAATAAAGGCTTTCTTCCTTTTCATAACAACCTTTTAAACATGTTTCATGCCTTGCTTTCATAAAAGAAACACTACTTCTAACATTTTTGATTTAGAATAGGTAAGTATGTATTTTGTATTTTATCAACAACGGAGGATTTTCCACAGAGAAATTATTAAATCCCTTATTTCCTTTATAATTGAAAACATCTTCATTTTTAGCAATTTACATCTATTTTGAGAAACTAATGTTTTAAGAAGTTCATTAAATATTGTTATGAAATGAAGTCAGAATAATCTCTGCTGCTAATTCTAAACTTACTTAATTCTAAAGTTTTCTTTTTATTTTCTTTTTATTTTTTGTACTAGAAAAAAATAACAAAAATTCGGAATGTATATCTAAAGAGAAAGTATAGTGAAATGTATATCTAAAATCTCTCTCTACATCCATCAATGTTTTATTTGTGAAAATAAGTTATCCGCTGTTTTTCAATTCCAGTCTTTTTAATTCTAATATTTTTGAATAACACTGAAAAAGAGAAACAACTCACACTAAACTACACTTAAAACAGGAAAATTCTAATGTACTATTTGAATTGGAAATAAATTGCAATTAAACCACATAAAAACAAAGGAGAAATTATGTTATATGCTGTATATAAATCATAAGCATAAAAACAAGGTCTGTAAAGTTTTGCTGGAAATAGTGAATAAGCCAGTGGTGTGGAAATGGGTAACGAGCAATTACCAGAATGACTATAAAGCAGTTGATTAAAAGAAGCTGGTAGTAGGCAATACCAAGAAGTGTGATGAATGCACTAAGACTTTCAAAAAGGATGAGACACACTGCATTGTTGTGCTTTGTGTATTTTATCTGTGTTTCGGGAACAGCTGAGGTTCTGCTGGGGATTCACGGTTTGATCTTTCAAGAAGTGTTCTCTACAAGCCAGCATGAAACTTGCCGTTCAAAGTACATATTTTCAGAAAGCTTTTGGAAAATAGTTTGCTTTGGTTATGGTGTTATCAACAGGTTTTGTTTGTTCGCTTGCATAGTCAGTCTGGGTTAACATGATTTTTAACAATTTTTTTTTTAGGCATTTATCCTCAAGAAAACACCTAAACAGATGAGAGCCCAACCATTGTAGGAGAGACATAAGTCAGCTCTTCAGAATACAAATATTTAGAAAAAGCCAGAATTTGTTTGAAAATAGTAGCATAAATTAAGGCTTTTTAGAAGCTCCCTTTAACAAGCTGAAAGAGGTTTTATAAACAAAACAACTAGTATTTACACTGCATAGATAATTATTCCTGAAAACATATTTCAGATATTACATCTCATGTTCAACTTGGGGAATAATGGTTTTCACCTACCATTAACTGTGCTATTTGTGTATGAAAAGGGACTATAAATGTATCCTAAATACTTCTAGGCTACTTATAATGCTGCATAGGCATAAGAAGAAATGTGATAAAATCAAACATCAAGAATTCATTCCAATACTAAATATTAAAGTATTTTCCATATGTACCTTCTTAGATAGTTTAAAAAGAACACAGAGGAAATGTAAATCATATTTACAGGAAAATAATTAATCAACAGTAATGAATTAATATTATCATAAAGTTTTAACTAATTCAATGGAGAGAAAATACTATCTAATCCATGTAAAATGTATGCAACCACTGTATAATTGGCAGTGATTAAGGTATCTAAGCCAATTACTGTGTGATTGTTTAGTTTATTTTTCTTTCAATCAGAACCTTTGTTTATAGCAGATAATTTTATGTTTTACAAATTGTATCTTTCCGTTATTACAGTAATAAACTATTCTGTGAGGCTATTGTTTCTCAGTACAAAGAACCATAACATGATGTTAGGCATTTAACCATACACATATTTCCCCATATTTGTTTGTGTATGCTTTAGTAATTACCAGTCGCAGGAGTGGCCAAGAAACGTGCCATGTGAAAAGCATGCCTCCAAATACAGCGGGCTTGCTCTCGCTGTGTCTGCATCTTCCAAGGAAGTACCTGAGTGCATCCACCAGGCAGATTTTCTTGGCCAGCTCTTTAGGAGCTAGAGAACTTCATCATTGTTCTTCAGAAAGCTGACTTTTGGGATTATTATGCAATGGAAGATCAAGGGCAAAATGTATACTTTATATACTATTTTTTTCCCCAGAAAACAGCTCACTATCTGTGTTTCCATTGTTTCCTTAAAGCTTCAGCTTTTCACCCTCTTTTGCACTTCCCCTCTGTGCAGCATCACACTGAAAAGCGGTCTTGATACCATATAGCTTGCAGTCTGGACCAGGGAAATGGAAGGAGGGAGAAGTGGAAAGATTTACCCAAAACTGCAAAATTACACTGCAGATCAGCAGGGAAAAACAAACAAACAAACAAAAAACCCCAACCCAGCCCAAACCAAATCAAAACCAACCAAACAAACAAAAAAACAGTGGAGCAAGAAGAAGGAGCTTTCTGGAGTCCTGATCCTATGATCTAGGATAGGGATCACCCATGGCATGCCAGCTCTACAGTGGCAGATTTGGTGCTGAGGCACTGGCAGCCGGGCTGTGCTGCGGTGGAAACTGGTGGGTGATCAGGTCCCTAGCAGGAGTGAGAGCAGGGA